ACCTGACACTCTTCAGGTCAATGCCAGCAGGATGTGTGCAGTGTTCCCAGGGTCCCTGTGCCAAGGTGAGCTGGGCACCTTCAGGCCAGCTGTGCCTGAGCTTGGGTGCTGGAGCTGTGACAGGGATGCTCCAGGCAACGTGCTGCTTGCTAGCACTGCTGCTTCTCCCAACCTTCCTGTAGGCAGGGCTGGAAGGGAGGGTTCTCTGCCACTCTCTGGCCACCCCTGCCGATGGCACCTTCCTCCCCAGTGCTGCTGTTCCTGCAGCTAGGGCCTGCAGCTTCCCCTGCAGCAGCAGCCAGAGATAAGAGGATGGTAGAGAGCCTTTGACATGCTGACAAAAATCATCAAATGTCCCTGAAATCTCATCTCAGGAGTGCCAACAGCCTTTGGGCTCCTGCTTTGCATGGCCAGGATGTTTTGGAGCTGTTCACCTTTGTTGTAAGGACAGCAGCAGCATCAGGTCATCTCTGACACATGAACCATGTGAGACATGATGTTAAACATGAAGAGTGAAGGAAAAAGCCTTGTGGAAGACCCTGAATTATCAGAACTTGAGCCAAGGGTTTGGGGGTTTTAGGGTGCATGAAGCAGCAACAGGCTCTGTCAGTATCCTTTGATGTGAACGTGCTCATGCTGGTGATAATGCTGGAGCCTTCCCAGTGTGCCTCTCCACAGCCTTTCATTCCATGTTCCTGATTATTTCAACAGTGGATGGATCTGTTAATTTTTCAAGTCTGATAACGTGGGTCTGAGGACAGGCAGGGAAAGATGGCAGCGTTATGAAGAGGGCTCATGGAGGGACAGTTTGGTTTGCACATCTCGATGTTGGTGCCACGAGCCTGGGGACTGCCAGCCCGTGCTGCCACCATTCTGGGGCTCAGTGGGGATGGCTTCACAGCCCCGGGCACCGCTCCCTTTGTGCCCCCTCCCCTGCTGCCGCAGCATCCCCGAGTCACCCCATTCCCCAGCCACACGGCAGGTCTGGGCTTGGCAGGGCTGCCAGGGCTCTGGGGGGACGGCAGGCCAGCACACGCACGCGTGCTCTAGCATGGGGGGGAAAAACTTGAAGTCAAATGTCTGAAAGTCAGATCCCTTTTTAGTATGAATTTGCTGTATCTCATTCTAAGCACTAATTCCAATTTAATTGCAAGTGGCCTGAAGCCTCTTCAATAGGAGTAACAAATGGTTTGATTTTGTAAACTTCATCAGACTGCATTTTAAATGCGACACACTAGCCCGGCTCGAATGCCAATGAAGCACTGAAGTAGCTCTCTGTTTACTAATTATCCGTTTTTACTTCAAGCCACGCTGGCTGGCTTGTCTGATTAAATCGGATTTGTGGGATAGAGAACAGCTAGCAGAGTTTTCTCTATAGTAAACGAGATTGAAACTATGGCCCGCCTGGCTGCACACTGTAAATTATATTTCCTTTTAAAGGGGACATGTCGCCTTTCTCCTGCAGTGCACCTCCCGCATCCATAAACTCCACAGGGCCCAGTGCCGAGCAAGACCCACCCCGCCCTGCCTCCCTCACCCGTGGCCACGCCGTTTTTTAGTTTAATTCCTGCTCTGGCAGAGGCAGCGGTGGGGGCGGTGCTGCAGCATCCCTCGCTGTGACTCGGACGGGGCGCGCTGTCACACGGCGCATCTTGCTCGTCATCACGTCTCTGGCGATTGCGCTGCTCTGGGACCAAGCTGCTGGAGAACAGGGATGTGCATCTCTGGGCTTGCAGCCATAAGGTTTTCCCTCCCTCCATCAAGCATCCCCCCACTAAAAATCAGTTTTGGGGACCACATTGTATTTAAAAAATCCACCAAGATGCGCCCAACACAGTTATGAAAAGAGCGTCTAACACCCAAATCACTCCAGCTTCCACCTCAGAACCCTGTGGCAGTACCAACAGCTCTCAGCTGCTGGCACAGCAGCTGGATCTGGCAGGGACACAGAAACTGGGGATGGTGGGCAAAGGTGGCAGCTGAACACAGCATGCGGGGCTCTGCTTAAACCTTCCCAGTTGCTAAGACTTCAATTCTGCGAGCTTGACCTACGCCGCCCCCTCCCTCGGTATCTATCTTTGTGCCCAGGGGCTTTTTATATTTTAATTTGCTTTTGAACGTCCTGCAAAATTAATGGCGTGCTCGGGGCCATTGTGCTGTGTACAGTAGAGGGAAGGGCCGTCGGCGCCCGCCGAGAGCCAGCGCGTTTCCCGGGGAATGAATTGCTCGCCCGCCTTCACCCCTTTTAATTGTTGACAGTAAAAAGCGTTTAAATGCTGCTTAATTTGTAATCATCTTCCTGCAAAAAGGGGAGAAACCATTAAAATGTCAGGGAAATGAATAAATCCGTCTCTCACTGATTTGGGGCGGCAGCATTTCTTTATCAGGGGTGATTTTTCTTCCAATGGCTGAGGGCTGGCTCGGGGCTTCTGTGGCTGAAGCCCAGGGATGCGCTCATAGCAGGACACGGGGCTGAGTCCTGTGCCACCCAGTGTGGCACCCTCTCGAGAGTTTTGCTGCTTTTTCCCACTTCCCATCCTTTCTCCAAAGGCGTGACACAGTTGACACGTAGCCTAAAAAAGAAAACCAAGCAGCTTGAAGGCCGGTGGTGGGACGGTGCCCAGCAGACCCTGGCGTGGTGCCTGCCATGCCCCTTGGCTGCTGCACTGTCACCTGCGGAGCCACAGGGCTGTGAACAAGCGCTGCCTGAGCTCCGTGCTCCGTGTGCCACTGCTGGGCTCAGTGCTGGGATGCAGGGATGCAGGGATGCAGGGATGCAGGGATGCAGGGCCGCCTCCCACACCCTCCACCTCTGCGCCCAGCCGGTATCAGCCTTTGTGTCACGCAGATGCTCTGCTCTCAGAGCACAACTGGAAACGTGTGCCAGTACACACTGACCTCCCAGTCCGGGGTGTTGTTTACTGATACATTACTTGAAGAAGAAAAAAACAGAGGGAGAAATTAAAATCGGCCTTTTGCATGTCTCAGGCAGCAGCACCCAGGGGATGCCCAGCTCCAGCAAGCAGCCCCGTCCCCCATGCATGAACGAGGCGTCGTCCCCATCCCTGCGGCTGCTGGAGTCAGCCCATTTTTTTTATTTTTTTTTCAAGCGGGGGCCAATTAGTTTCACAAATGAGGGCCCTACGGTGCCAGGGAGGATTTGTTACGGCCCCGCGCGCCGGGCCGGCGGCATTGTGCTGCCCTCCGCCCCCACGGGAGCCCATTGTCCGCGGCCCCAGCGGGGCTGCTGCCGGCAGATTTATCGGGGCCGGCGTCCCGCCGGCCGGGGCCTCCGCTCCGCAGCTGGCCGCGGCGCTGGGGCTCAGCCCCGCGGACCTTTGACCCGTCCTGCTGTCACCGCCGGGCCGCCGAGGGCCGCGGGGCCACATACCTCTTGGGATTTGCTCCGCACTGCCCGTTCGCGGCTGCTTGCTGCTTTTTTTTTTTTTTTTCCCTTTTTTTTTTTTTTTTTTTTTTTTTTTTTTNCGTCCCGCCGGCCGGGGCCTCCGCTCCGCAGCTGGCCGCGGCGCTGGGGCTCAGCCCCGCGGACCTTTGACCCGTCCTGCTGTCACCGCCGGGCCTCTGAGGGCTTTTTGTCCTCATACCTCTTGGAATTTGCTCCGCACTGCCCGTTCTCGGCTGCTTGCTGCTTTTTTTTTTTTTTTTCCCTTTTTTTTTTTTTATTTTTTTTTTTGTCTTGGGAGCGTTTTGTCCGCAGCTGCGTGGGGGGCACATGAGCCCACAACCCCCCGGGATAAATCCCTGCAGGAGGAGAAAGGCAGCTCCCATGCAGGGCCACCTCTCTTGCTGCTTTTATTCCCATTTCACTGGGGCTTTTTTTAGATTTCAGAGCATTTTTGGGTAGCCCAGTGCAAGGCTGAGATTGAGCATCCCCCCAGGCAGCCTCTGCATCCCCAGCAGGACAGAGCTGACAGTGGCGTGCACCACACACCTGTGTGGGTGATGGCACAGTGCCAGAGCAGGTGACGGTGTGAAGGGAGGTGCTCTCCGGGATGCCCATGGTTCCCAAGCTGGGGGTGTGGGTCTGCCCAGGAGCATCCTTCCCTGTCCCCACTGCATGGTCCAGGCAGGACCATGACTCTGCTGCCCATCATGTCCCTGCCCCGCGGCCCTGGTGGTCTCCCTGGGGTTGGTTTTGGCAGCATGGCAAGCAGCCCTCTGCCCCTACTGTTCCTGAAGGCTGCATGGATTTGTTGGTTACCTTGAACATCTTGTGCTGCTAATGAATTGCTAATACAATTTTCTAGCTAATTTTATTTCCATAGTCCTCACATTTTAATGTCTCCAAAAAGCGAGCATTTATTTGCTTAATCTCCCTGTGTAATACAATTTGCAGTGACTCACAGTTCTGAACAATCAGCTATGCATAAGCAAAAACAAACTGTTTAATGGCTAGAGGTCTGAGATGTTTATGGACAGGGTATGAGCACCTGGGCTGGGGTTTTGTCCCTGTTGTGTTGCTGCAGCCAGGTTTGTACCCAGGAGTGATGGTATGGAGCTTGGATCTGCCTTAGGGCTTGGGGCCACACACAGCACAAGGGGTGGGCTCGTCCCCTCTCACATCCTGCCTCCTGCTCCCCAGGGCAGCTTCATGGGGTCCCCTTTCTCCTGGGCACAAGGTCTGAGCTCAGCAGCTCTCAGAGGTGTGTGGGGACGCAGTGATCACCCAGCAGCTGCCTTGTGTTTGGGCATCCCTCGGCGTCACCAGGGCTCCCAGCTGCCTCTGGTGCAGTAAGAGCAACTTCTCCTCTTCAGTTACTCCCCTCAGAAGGCCAGTGTCAGCAGGGTCAGGGTGGCCAGGGTCCTGCTGTTGGGACTCCTGCCAGTGACGCCCAAAGCCCTGCAGCTCCTGGGGTCCCTTCTGCTGCCCGAGCATCCCTGCTGCCATGTGGGCACAGGGACCCCCACGCAATGGGGTGATGGGACAGGGGCCTGGGGTGCCAGGCAGTGCTTGAGCCGGGTCTCTCCCTCTCCCACAGGTACAGACATGGCCGTTTTCTGCCTGCTGTGCGGCAAGCGGTTCCAGACGCAGAGCGCCCTGCAGCAGCACATGGAGGTGCACGCCGGGGTGCGCAGCTACATCTGCAGCGAGTGCAACCGCACCTTCCCCAGCCACACGGCGCTCAAGAGGCACCTGCGCTCCCACACAGGTACGCGGCCCCGCGTGGGGACTCGGGGCTGGGGCAGCCGGGACGTGCTCCTTCCCCACGCGTGAAAAAGAAACAGGGGGAGGAAAGGTGATTTGTATTAAGAAAGCATGGAGGGGACTGAAGTGGCTTGGATTTGAAAAACAAAACAGGAAAAAAAAAGCTGTGTGTAATAAGTTGATCTGGTCTGGGGTGGCACGTGACCTTCTTAGGGGGTGTGCGATCATATCCGCCTCATCAGCTTACGGCGGTAGATGCACATAATCAGCTGGTGCTCGGCCCTAATGGGATTAGGGCGACCTGCGCTACGTGGAGCTGGTGCTGCCGTGGCCCCACTGGGGCAGGGCTTGGCTGCAGGATTGCTGAGCGGGAGAGCACGGCTTGGCCGCCTTACGCCGTGTCCTCAAAGCGCCCGCGCCGTGTCCTCAGCTCCTCCGACGGCATCCCTGGGCAGCTCCGTGGTCCCGGCCACATCAGCAGCACCGCCATTCAGGGCCAGTCACAAAACACCCCTGAAAGAGCTGATTCTGGGGGATGAGCAGGAGTGTGCAGGATCGCAGCATTCCTCATTGGGTGAAGCATTCCTCACGCATCCTTTGCCCACACAAGTGAGAGGCTCATGCACCCTCCTTGACACCACTGCTGCTGCTGACAGGGAGCAAAATGTATCCTGAGGAGGGATGCCCCTTCTTTCTCTTGTCAGGCAGGGGGCATGCACACGATCTCCAAAAGGGACGCAAAGGTGGCTGCTGGGGGCTGAGCAGGTGGTGTCACCAAGGGTCATTCTGTCCAGCCTGTGGCTGGCAGCTGCAGACTCGCACGTGGGCTAGGGGTCCCGACGTGGGAAACGGGAATCCTGTGTCGATGATAAGCATGTTAATGCTGAGTGCTGGAGCTATTTATAGCCGGTAATCCGGTGACCTGGGCTGCGGGTCGGGCTGTGCGTGTCCCACCCCAACCTCTGCCGCTTTAGTAGCTCCGAGATGTGAAAAAACACTGGGATCATCGGCGCTTTAGGAGCATTTACTCGTGCCATGTGGTGCCGTCCTGCGCAGCTGCAGGATGCTCCCTCTTGTCCCTCTTGTCCCAGGGCCAGGGTGCTCCATGGGCTCAGGCTCCCCTGAAGAGTGGGCGGGTAGAAATGCTGGCTGCCTCTGCCTGAAAAATTGCTGTCTTTGACTGTAGGATCAAAAGCCAAAGTGGCAGTTTGGAACTGGGCACAGGGAGGGGAAAGTCAACAACAGCCCACAGGCACTGCCTGCATTGCCTTTGGAGGGGGGCTCCGACCTGCATCCCGAGCATCCTCCTCCCCCAGGTGCCCAGGCAGCAGCTGCGGGAGGGGCGAGGGGCCGCAGAACTGGGCTGCGGCAAATGGGGAGAGAGTAAAATATCATTTTAAAGAGGAAGCGAAAGCACAGGCATGTGAGTATATAACGAGAAGGACAATTTATGCCCAGGCACGAGTGCAGTTTGACACGGGGATAATGAAAAAACGTAGGTCATTGTGGATGACTTAAGCCTTCACAGCTGAAGAAAATGTATGAAATGCGGGGAACATTACACGCTTGGCAGCTCCGCACATCTGCAGCAGGACAAGTGAAATACAGTTCGCCATTCTTTACCATAAACTGTGCTTGTAGGATATGCGGCACAGAGAAATTGTAATTACAGTGACAAGACAAATCAGTAATATTTAAATATTCATGAACAAAGTCTCGGACGATCAATCTATCTTTATTGTCCTTGCCTTCGCGGCTGTAATAAATAAGTAGCTGGAGCCCTCACCTTTCCTTCAAATCATTCTGCCTTTGATGCCAAACCAGAGTTCATTTATCAGCCGCCTGGTCTAGATTGTGGGAGATGCCCAGGGCTGGGGCTGTGCTGGTGCTGCTGGGTGAAAAACCTGGAAATTGGTGGCGGAGGGTTGCAGCTCACTCCAGTCTCTCTGCTGTGCTGCGGACCCGAGCATCCCCTCTGTACACGAAGGTCTGTGCAAGAAGGGACCAGCGGACTGCACTGGGGACAGTGGGACACTCTGTCCCCAGGATGGCTGCCCGGGGTACAAAGGCTGGGGAGCTGGTTTCGGTGTGGCACAGCAGTCACGGCAGCCCTGACCTGGCATGTGCTTGCAGGCGACCACCCCTATGAGTGCGAGTTCTGCGGCAGCTGCTTCCGGGACGAGAGCACGCTGAAGGGCCACAAGCGCATCCACACCGGTGAGAAGCCCTACGAGTGCAATGGCTGTGGCAAGAAGTTCAGCCTGAAGCACCAGCTGGAGACCCACTACCGAGTCCACACAGGTACATGCTGGGGTGTCTGTGGTGAGGCTGGCAATGGCAGACCGGTCCCCTGGCAGAAAGGCTGGCATGTGGATAGCGGGGGCAGCCAAGGATAACGAACCCCAGATGCGCCGGCGTGTAATTATAGTAAATAGGGATCGATAGTCACATTGGTTCTGCTGTTCATTGCTCGGGTATTGGCTGTGCCCGCTGCGGCAGTGTCGATGCCAGGCAGTTGATTGGCACCTGGAGGCCCCGAGCCCCCACTGACACCCCTGTATCCCACAGGTGAGAAGCCCTTCGAGTGTAAGCTGTGCCACCAGCGCTCCCGGGACTACTCGGCCATGATCAAACACCTTCGGACCCACAATGGCGCTTCCCCTTACCAGTGCACCATCTGCCTGGAGTACTGCCCCAGCCTCTCTGCCATGCAGAAGCACATGAAGGGCCACAAACCAGAGGAGATCCCCACTGACTGGCGGATAGAGAAGACCTATCTCTACCTCTGCTACGTCTAAGGGAGGAGGCAGAGGGGCAACGGGGCAGATGACTGGGCAAAAAAATCCCACCAAACCCGCAGCATCCATGGCCTTGTTTGTTTTCAGTTCTCATTTGTTTCTTCTCGCCGGAAGGATCCTGCAGCTCATGCTGGACCGAGGGATGCACCAGCCCCTTCTCCAGCCCCATCCACACTGCTGTCCCAGCTGCTCATGCGCCTGCTGCCCTTTCACCCTTGCTGCAGGGCAGATTTCACCCTTTGCAACCCCTAGCAGGCCCTCTGTCACCCTTGGCATTGGCCACTGGTGCTGCTGGGAAGACCATGTAGGAAAGAGGCGCTTCCCTGAAAGTGTGTGCGTAGCTAGTGCTCTGGGAAGGCTTTAATTCCTGGCGTCCTGTCACTGCACAGACCCTGCCGTGGATGCCCTGCAGAGGACCTGAGCTCCCATGTGGGGCCCAAGCCCCATTCTGGCAGGTTCTCATGCTCCCAGGCTGTGACATCGCAGGCAGGAGAGCACAGTGCCCTGTGAGCCACAAGTGCTTTGGCAAGAGTGTCCTGGAGGGATCCTGGCCAGAGGAGGGTGTTTGGGACAGGGAGCCAGCTGTGAGCCAGGCTGCCTTGAAGTGTTGCCTGGTGTCCAGGTGGGCTCAGGGGCACAGGAGGCTGCTGCTCTTCTCATGACCAAAGAGCTCTCTATGCATTTCTCCCTCCTTCCCTGCCTTCCTGGGGCAAGGGTGAAGCCCCCGTGGGGAGATGCAGTTGGTTTGGTGATGTGCAGTCAGTGCCAGTGTTGGAGCACGTGGCATCACTCCGAATGCAGGGATCCTCTTTTCTTCTGCTGATTTGGGGCACCTGGAAGGTGCCAAGTGTGGGTTTTTTTGCCCAGCCCTCAGCCTCAGGAGCCCACAAGTAAGGGGTGCCCCGTGGCAGGCGGCTTTGTTTGCCGCTTTTTTTGCTTTTTGTTTGGGTTTTTTTTTTTAACTTTCTTTTGGAATATTTCCGCGTTTAGCACATTTTACTTGAAATTACCTCATTTTTTTGTGACCTCATGAGCTTTTATTGATTTGGGAGGGACAGGGGGTGGCATGGCTGAGGTGCACCAGCCACGTGCCCAGCATTGGTGGTGGAGAGGTGGTGGGGCACTGGTGTCCCTGCTAGCCTCCTGTTGTGCATTATCCTTACCAAAACTGGTATTTTTTGCCTGGCCCTATGGGGCTGGGGGTGTTGGTTCTGAAGCTACCTCTTGTGTTCGTTTTTGTTGTGTTTCTCCTGCGCAGCCGCAGGCTTGGTGGTTCCATCCCACGGTTCTGTTTTTGTCGTTTTGCTGCGTTTGGGTGCAAGGGGAGAAAAGGAGCTGGGGGGTGGGGGGGTGGGACAGTGTCTGGATACAGTTTGGAGGGACACTGGTGGCCCCTCTGGGTTTGGGGTGTCCTTCCCACCTCTCCTGGTGCCAAGCAGGGATATGGCTGTGGGAGCACCATCCTCCCTCGCGCCCCAGCCTGGCTTTGCCCGTGCGTGTGCCTCTGCGCATGGGACCGCTGCTGCTCTGCGCGGGGTGGACACCGCTGCTGTACAATCCGGGATGTGACTGTGGAGAACGGCTCGTTTCATTGTTGTGCCTAAGAAAAAACAGAAAAAAATATTTAAAAAAAAGAAAACAGTTCTTTCACACAGAAAGTTGCTGCAATTTCTGGCGTGTGCACGGCAGGTCCCCGTGGTGTCCTGGCGCTGCCAGACACGGGTGCCATGGAGCACGTGGCCGAGCTCATGTGGCTTTTTTTTTTTTGCTTTAACCTCCCCTTCCATCCCACCATCCCTCTCCCTCAGAGACACAGCCCCCACTGCAACAGTGTTGGGGTCAGCATTGGAGCGTTGCTGCTGTATCCCGGGCGCACGACCCCATGCTGTTGGCTGTGGCGCAGCCCCTGCCACCCCTCCATATATATATAAGTAAGTATATATATGTGTATCATAGCAGTGAGGACCAAGCGCCGCACGGGGCCCCGTGGTCCCGGGCTCCCTCTCCCCTGGCTTGCTGTCAGTGTCGTGAGCGCCCGCCTGCCCGTCCCGTTGCTCTGTGTTGCTGCTCGTGGTTCGGGTCCGTCGCTGTCCTCGTTCCGTCTACCTCAGCACCTCTCTGAGCCCGGGCGCAGAAGGTGCCCAAGTTCCCCTTTGGTTTTCTCAGAGTATCTATTGGCTCCTATTTTTTGTACGACTTTTCCTGTCTCACCGTTCGCTCCCCTGCGGTTCTGCTTGCGAGTCCTCTTTCTGTCCTCTAGCCACAGATGCCGTTAGCTAAAAGTTTCCTGAAAAATAAAGAAAAAGAAAAAAAAAAAAACCAGTTGTGGTGTCTCCTAGTTGCAGCTCTCCGCATCTGCCTTCGTCCTGTGTAGATTCAGATGCATTTCTTTGTAAGACTTCAGTGTTTCTGACAGAGGAAAAAAAAAAAAGACAAAAAAAAAAGAAGAATATACTGCTGCAGGTTTTTTTCTCTCCATGTGTCACTAAGTGAAGTTCGTGCCTTCTATAGCAAAGAGAATATTTTTTACATCCTACTAACGGTAGATTTTTTTGTAGTGAACATTTTTTGTATTTTTATTTATAAGTCTCATAAGGAAAATAGCAATGTTCAGTTGTATACCTTGAATCTGCAGTTAGAAAACAAAAGAACAACCAATAAAGTTAATTCTGTTGTCTCAGCCTGCTGTCTCCCATTCCTGTGCCCATCAAGAGGAGAAGGAGGAGGAATAGGCGGTGGAGGAAGGATGCATTCCACCAGCTTGGGGTGAGCCATGAGGGTACGCTCAGTGGTGAGTTTGGGGGTGCCTGCTCTGAGGGGGAAATTGAGGAGATCCTATCACTAAACCAACCCCGGTGGGCGGGGGTCTCCCTGGAATGTCAGTATTGCCATGGGCAGGGAGCATCCACAGCACACTGCCTGTGCTCTGCCTGCCCATGTGGCTCACCAGGGAGCAGAGCAAGTTTGCCTCAATGAAAGTGAACTCGTTCATTTAAACCTGCCTGCAGAGCCGTCCGGCCCCCCGCTGCGTTAATTATCCTGTAGTTCCCGACTGATTGCTGTACACTAAGCTTAAGCCCTCCTTTATTTATTTACTGACTACATTAACGGCAGCGCCCGCTCTCCTTTTGTGCTGTGGCAAACCGTGCCACACCGCGCTGCGGCTGGGCCAGGCCTGGCACAAGCCCTGCCTGTGCCCAGTGCTGCCCGCCGCCAGCCGTGGTCCTGTGACACCATTGGACATTTCCTACAGCACGGCTGGAGTCACCGAGGGCATATTTAGCTTTTCCCAGGGATGGATGGCATGTGCCCGTGTCAAGGCCAGCCGTGACACTGCCCCAGCATTTCCCAGCGGGTTTGAGGGGCTGTGTGTCCATTCCAAGGTCCTGATGGTGCTCCTGCCTCCCCCGGTCCCCCCAGCACAGCCTCCCAGGAGGGCTTTGGGCAAGTGCTGGGGAACTTTGGTCCAGGTTTGGGCAAGCAGAGGTGGTCCTGCTGTGAGCAACCTGCAGGCTGCAGCACCCCGCGAGAAGGGAGGCAAAGCTGGCGTTCAGCCTGGCACAAAGGCGTTGCTACAATAACGGGGAAATCGCGGTAGGACCGGGCCTTTGTGTGCACACTCGCACAGCAGCTGGGAGCGATTATGCTGCAACAATGTTCTGTTCCATCAACATTATGTCCTCATTAAACCTTTATTAGGAGATTAGATTCAGATTTATTGATTTTTTTTTTTTTTAAGAGGAAAATCCAGGCTTCTCTCAGATGCCTGGAACTTTTTCCTACATGCAGCACTTCCCAAAGTAGCGAGAGGGCAAGGGGAGAATCAATCTTTCCTCCAGGATAGACAGCCTGTCCTTCCAGGGAAAAGGACTGCTGAGCTTCTTGAGGGGGTTAGGTTGGGTGCATGATGGTTTCCTAGCACAGGGATGACAAAGACCAAAACATTCAATGGGATATGGCAGCACAGATGAGCATCTTGCAGTGCAGCCTTGGGGGACGTCAGGGTCACGGTGAGCAGGAGAGAGATGGCAAGGCTGGCTCAGGAGTCTTGCTGCCCAGTACCCCCATCAAATACATGGGCTGGGTGGCATCACACACCTGGGTCAATGGCCCCATTGGATTTGTCTGTTGGAGCGTTTGATGTTACACGAAGGCAGCTCATTCCAGAGGGTGTTAATTGCCCGCTGCACTGATCAGGTCTGTAGCACCATCGATCTCGGCAGGATCAATGGGCTGATTTAGTGTCTCACGAACTCTTTAACTGGACACCTCATCAATAGGCAGCCACTTACAGACCATCAGCGCATTAGTGCGGGCCAGTGCTGGCAGGAGCCCGCTCCACCCGTCCTCAGCCCCCGTCACTCAGAGGTAAGTTTTCCTGCAGGTGATGGCTCTGAGACCGTGAGTGGGAGTCTTTCTCTGGGGCTGGTGGGTTTGAGGGCAGATGTATGAGAGCCAGGTGGTGTCAGCCCACCCCCATCACCTGCATATGCAGAGATGCTCCTAGAATGGGCCCTTATGGCATCTGCAGCACTTTGCTCTTTTCTTCTTGTGCCTCTGCCCTTGCAGGGGCAGATGACAGCGGGAGCTGGGCACCTACTGCAGCTGTGGTGGCAATCCTGCCCAGTACCGCGTGCCCACGGAGTCAGTCCCGTTGCCATCCCGGTTTGGCCCCGGCCGGACCCGGGTCTCTCCGGCTTTGCTGAAACTGCTGAGCACAAGCACGGTAGGGATCTGCTGGGCAAGCGTGCCCGGGGGCCCGGGCAGGATATAAGGGCAGCAGCCGGGACAAGGGGTAGGGGAGCCGAGGACAGCAGGACCCCAGGGCGGTGCGGATCCCCCGGGGCAGCGGGGACCCAGCCGGTGCCGGGGCACCCCGGGGCGGTGCGGATCCCCCGGGGCAGCGGGGACCCAGCCGGTGCCGGGGCACCCCGGGGCGG